GACCCTTCTTCAGAAGAAGGGTCTAGACCCGAAACGTCAGCTTTCCTGCTCCTCTGATGCTGTTTGGCCTGCTGTGTTCATCCAACTCTACATCTTGTTATCTCTAATGAGAGAGAGGATTTATTTTGTGAGTCACATTAATTATCAAGATTATAATGAATTACAATTTAGTTGCTGGCTTACTTTCAAACTTTTACTCTCATTTCTATTCCAATTATGAAATGTGTAAGAGCGATAGGATGACAGTATTGGGTGATTTAAAGTAGAATAAAAGAAATGCCATGTGAGGGATTCTTTTTAAGAATGCATTCATTACTGCTTCCTAGATTAATAATGTTTGAGTCAAAAAGGCAAAGAAGCATTGCTTGATTAATGCTGGAAGATGAAGTTATGAAAATAACAGATTAAGAGCAAGACAAAAATTTGATAGAGAAATTAGCAAACAGGTCTTCAAATAGAAGTTGTTAGATGTAAACTATGTTTATTTCTATAGGGCAGAAAGGGAGTACACAACTTAAGCTGTGTACGATATGGTACTGCTGACTATCAAGTTCTGCTAATCTTTCCATTAGCAGCTCCTCTGAACAAACACCTCTAACAATTGATAAGTAATTTCTTCCAGTACACTTCTATTTGAATTGGACCAGTTTTTTTTAAGAAAGGCAAAATATTTATTTAATGCTTCAGACATATCTTCCTCCTCCAAAATTAGATTCCTTTTCATTCTTGAAAGATGCAATCTCTAATTTGTGTTACTTTCTAAATGTACCATATTGTACACAGTTTAAGTTGTTAACTCAGAAAGGGGATGGCAGAGACTAACTAGTTACACAAAACACAAGATTATGGCTGTGAATTCCAAATCCCCACCACCCTTTAGTGGGGGAAAAAATTCAACCCCTTTAAACCTGCCAGTTACTTCAAATCTATAACCCCTCTTTATCGACCTCCTTACTATCAACTCTATCTAGGTCCTTTATAATGTTACATGTTTCAGTTACATATTGCATTAAACAATAGATAAAAGAAATCCTTGGATAAAAAAGTTGATAAAATTAAACCAATTTAATAGGGAGGCATATGATACTCAGACAAAAATGCTAAGAAAACCATTAAGAGCACAGAATATGCATTGGCAAGGTGAAGAAGGAAATTATCAAACATGAAGGAGAATGGGGAGGCGATGGTCTAGTGGTATTATTGCTAGACTGTTAATCCAGAGACCCAGATAATGTTCTGGGGACCTGGGTTCAGATCCCACCATGGCAGATGGCGGAACTTGAATTCAATAAATATCTGGAATTAAAAATCTAAAGATGACCATGAATCAATTGTCAGAAAAACCCATCTGGTCACTAATGTCCTTTAGGGAAGGAAACTGCCATCCTTACCAGGTCTGGCCTACATGTGACTCCAGACCCACAGCAATGTGGTTGACTCTTAACTGCCCTCTGGGTAATTAGGGATGGTCAATAAATGCTGCCTACCCAGCGACACCCTCATCCCGTGAATGAATTAAAAAAATATTAAAAGTTGAACAATAATATAAAAAGAAACAATAAGGACTTTGTAAGCATTTAGAAAGTAATACAAATTAGAGATTGTATCTTGTCTACAAGCATGTTACCATGATCAACCCTCCTTGTTACCTTGTCAAAATATTTATTAATTTAGTCAAACGTTACCTTCTCATAACAATGCAATGCTGACTTGATGAATCTGTGCCTTTTTAAATCATGGTTTATACTGTCCTTTAGAATTTTTCCCTGTAATTGCCCACGAGTGAAGTTAGGCTGACTAGCCTGTAACTATGTAATGTTACCAGTTCTTTAGTGGCATACCTATAGTTAGGGAGGATTGGGAAATGATGCTCTCACATTCTGCTGTTCTATGCCTTGCTTTTCTTAACAGCCTGAGGACTTCATCCAGCTCTAGCAGGTTGTGCGCTTTCAAAGATTCTAAACCATTTAATATTTCTTCTGTGTTTATCCCATCTAGTATTTCACATACTCCCTTAAACAAACGTTTCTATATTGGGCTAACAAGGTGCAGAGCTGGATGAACATAGCAGGCCAAGCAGCATTCTGAAGAAGGGTCTAGGCCCGAAACGTCAGCCTTCCTGCTCCTCTGATGCTGCTTGGCCTGCTGTGTTCATCCAGCTCTGCACCTTGTTATCTCAGATTCTCCAGCATCTGCAGGTCCTGCTATCTGTTTCTATATTGGGCCCCTGCTTTGTAAAGGCAGATGCAAAACTCTCTTGAAGAATCGTGCCCATATCTTCTGCCTCCCACACAGGTCATCTTTTTGGCCTTGAATCCCTACTTGTTCCTTAGTTGTTCTGCTGTTCTTCTGCAGTGAAGAGTGGTTGGGGAGGAAACAAGATTTGTTGTCTGTCAACATATTTATTCTGAATCTTCTCTGCCTCCACCTTGAATGTGTCCCACTGGTCTGACATTGGTTGAACTTCAAGTAGTTGTTTCCAGTCTCAGTTTATTAAAATTGTCCGTTCCTCAGTTAAAAGTTCTACTCTTGTTCTATCTTTGTTCCTTTCTGTAATTATGTGAAATCTACTTAAATTATGATCATTACCACCAAAATACTGTTCTACTAACAGTTTCTCAGGTTTATTCCCTGAAGCTAAATCTAAAACAGCCTATTCTCTGGTGAGACTTCTACGTGCTTGCCAGAAAAAAAGTATATTTAAAGGATTCTTTGCCCTTTACACCTTTCATGTTGATTTTGTCCATTAATACCTAAGTTATTAATCAATTATCTTGTTTATTTTCTAATCTTTGTTTCCTTAGCAATCTTCACTTAATGAGTTTATGCCTTCCTTTTTCAACTTTGCTTTTTCTCCCTTCTGAGTTTGACTGGGATTCCCATAGATCTGTCAAGCCATTTCAAAATCTCCTTGCTGCAACAATGGTCCTGGCAGTATTCATTTATTTCTTCTACAATGTGCAAGTTGTGCTGAGGGCCTGGACAATAGCTGATGCAGCAATTTAGTTCAAGAAGGGCGATTGACAGGAGGCTGACAAGATAGTTCACTGATGATCAACAAACTCTCAGATGAGGTAAAAATTAGTATTTAGAAAGGCATTGGTTAATCAAGTGCATTTAACATAGAATTGTTAAAGATCAGCTGCATTTGACAAACTTTCGAGTGCTTTGCAAAATGACCAATTTTGTACAGAAATGCAGTAGATGAAATATGTACGGATTTTCACAAGATATTCAATGAAATGTCTCCCAATAGTGTTCTAATTCCAATTGCTGGTAATATTGATCAAGTCAGATTCTAGAATGAAACATAGCTTGATAGACAACAAGTTTCATTTTTGTAATTTGTTTACTGTGGTGGTCAGTCATTAAACATATTCACATGTGGTTTGAACAAAAAAAACTTTCAAGGTTTATTACATACAAAAGAAAGAAAAACTATTTTACATTATAGAGGAATGATTTAAAACTGTCTACTTATAGTTATCAGAAATAAGTATTCAACCCTGAACAGCAGCCTTAAAGATACTTAAACCTCAGTGAAGAACCACCCTATTTTAACCAGATATTTTCTAATCACCCAGTTCAGAGATGTGAGACTTGAAATGGTATCTCCTGGCTTAGAGGTAGGGACGCCACCACTGTGCCACAAGAACCCAATATCTAATTTCTAATCAACCTGCTCAGAGATGTTCTTGAACATCCTTGGAGCACGTGGGACTTGGGCCTAGGTTTCCTGACCCAGAGGTAGGGTCACTGCCATTGTACAGAAGATCCCTCCCTAATTAACCTGTTGTGACAAAGCTATGGAGCTGGTGAGACTTATACCTAAGCCTCCTGGCTCAGAGGTATGGACACTACGACTGTACCATAAGAACCCAATATTTCCACTTTAAACTTCCTGTTAAGTGGACACAGTTGTACTTAACAAGCCTGCATTCAGTCAAAAACTAATGCCTCTTAAAGAGACTCTTAAACAAAATACTGAAGACCGCTCTCTTGTTTCTTAATGGGGTCCATGAACAGTTCTTCCACAGCTTTCTTTCTAGAGCTTTTCTCTTACTTACTTTTGAATCACTTCTTTTCAGCCCAAACTGCTTTCAAGACTACTAAGCTTGCTGCCACAGACTAGTTCTCTTTGACAATAACCTGCAACAGCCATTAACCTTCTGGATGGTTTTGTTTCTTTTTCTGAAGTAAATCTTCCTTTGGTTTTTCTCTCTCTCTTTTGTAGGACCCATTGTTGCTATGCAACAGCCTAATTTTTTCTCTCTTGTACCATTTGTTTTATAAATCACAAAACTTTTCACTTAAAGGCGGTTTTAAAGCCTCATTTAAATGCATGCAAGCAATTTTCCAAAAAAGCTGGCACATTCTCAAAACTCAAAAAAATTAAAACTATATCTCCCTTCCTTAACCCACAATGAAGAAATACAGATCGAGTTTAAAGCTAAACATTATACTGTCCATTTTACAACCAAGTTTCTACATAATAATAATTGACAAACCTATATTACAATAGAAATTTGATAGGATTAAAATTTGGTTGCCAGACAAGGAACAGTGAGTTAAGGTAAGTGAGAATGGTTGGAAATGATGTATTCTAGGAGACAGTTTTGGATTCACTTTTCTACCATAGGTACATGATTTAGATACAACATCATATTTATATGTCACTGGCTATCCAAATTCAAAGTTTGTTGGCACAAATAAGTTAACGCGCTAACAAGCAGTGAGAAGGCTATACAAGATATAAGCAATTACATTACCGTAATGCTTAGACAAATGGCAAATGCAATTTAACATGGATAAATGTGAGGTAATAATTTTTAAGGAGAAACAAGGAATGGAATAAACACTTAAAGGAGAGAGGGTCTGCATGAACTGAGAGCTAGAATTCAAAAAGCTAGGATTTCCTGAAAGTATAAGTACAATTTTTGAACCTACTCTGAGAAAGTACAGTAAAGCCAAAGGAAGCTGAAATAATAAATTGGCCATATGATACCTCAAATAGAAAATTTGATTTGTAGATATGAAAAGACAGTTGTGAAACTGACACTGTTTCTGCCAAGTAGAAATGGTTAATGAGAGATTTAGCAAAACTTGTCTTAATTGAATTTTGATAACATGAACAGGGAAATACTTTTTCGTTTGGTCATTAACAAAAGGCTATCAATTTAAAATAGAGTGAAGAAAGTTGGAGAAAATCTTTGCTACTTGATACATGGAATGCTTTGAAATGGAATATGGATGAGGTTGAGATGATTGAAAACTTCAATTTGAACAAAATAAAGAGCTAGAGAGAAATCAAGGTAGTAGGATTGGTTTTCTATTGGTCTAGCAAAGAACCAATGGAGATGTGATGGGCTGGAAGGTTGCCTCCTGTTCTCTAGTCTTCCCTGGGTTGCATAGGACGAATCGCTGTCTAAATGGAACTGTTACATTTCAGAAGAAGTACCAATAAAATTCAACTGAGAAGATTTATGGATTTGTATTATTATTACTATTATTATTAGCTAACTGTTGTACATGTGACATAAGACATGAATTGAATGTGTAATAGTGAATTGAAGAGCAGTAATTCTGAATCCTTTAACAAATTTGTTTATAACACCAAAATAATTATACTTTGCAACTGCTTTAAAAAGTTTTTAAAGTTGGCTAATATGTATAACTTACCAATGTCAATATCTGTTCATAAAACATGAAATAGTTTTCTTTACATTGCACAAGTCTCCTATCACATTGTCATAACAAGTGCCGAAATGTACCGTAAAAGTTGACTCATACAAAAACAAACAAATGCATTTGTATCCAAGTATGTCAACTCGAAGAGGTTGTTTTGTGATTTGCAAATTGTGTTTTTAACATTTAATTTTTGTACAAGCTATATAATGATACCATTCCTATTGAAATAATGGTGCTCGATGATGACTGCTCTAAGCATTTCTTTTGTCGAAGTAAATATCAAGATGATTGCGATTTGGTTTTATTTTGTAGTTTATTCAGAGAATGCTGTGAATGAAGAAGTCCATGTTTTCACCAGCCAGCACATGTCGATTTTTTGGGACTCCAAAATTACTGATATTATGTAATTTCTGGACCTAGTTCTGGTAAGCACTGCTCAGCCTCCCGAGCATTGTTAACAAAACTAGATTGGTTCCCAAGTCAGATTTGGAATGCTTTTAAAAGATATTGTGAACGATAGGTGACTGACTGAAGTAATGCTCAGGAGCCCTTCGTTGGATGCTCTTAAATGGAAAGTTGTAAGTTTTGGTCACAATCTTAATTGTTATTATAGCATGATCATTTCCAAATATCTCTTTATCCTCCTCCATGAATTACCAAGATAAATTTCCTTAAGTCCAGGCTTTCAAAATTCATTAAAAAGTCCTGTAGTTCTTGACTGGACTGCCTGCAATGTGGTTTTCAATGGTTTTTATGAAACCCATGCTGAGCGCAGCATTCTAGATGTAACCCTATTACAGCACTTGGTTAGACTTTTGTGATAATATAGGGTTGCCTTTCTCAATTTATTGGCTAAATAAGGCAATTTAGTTGGTATCTTATATTTGACGAGTTAGTGTTCAAACAAGACTGTAAACTCAACCACCAACATTTTGACTGTTGAGGAAACTTAGCAATTCTATGAGAAGGCAAAATCTGAGACACCTGTCTAGCAACAAGTAAATAAGATGTGATGTGTTGCAATCGTAGACCTTTTTGTGACAATCCTAGATTAGATGTTCCTCTCAGTTAACTTCCTCTCAACTTCAGCAGAGAAAGTTTGAAACTAAAGATGCTTAAATGGGTCTAAATGATTGATCAATCTCTCCCCAAAGATTAAGGACTAGGCCAGATTAATGATGCCCTCTAGTCTTTTTAAGAAGTTAAAAACAGATCATAAATTTCCTAGATTTTATAAGGGTCTGCATAATAATTCCTTCTACTCTTCCACCCACAAAAATAAAGGAGTATGGATTCATGTTCTCAAGTTGGTAAAGCAGAGGACTGACAGACAAAACAAATCTAAATGATATAAAAAGGTTTATTAAAGAACTGAAAACGACATGACATTCAAAGTCCGGGTGAAAACAGTGAATTGCAACGTTAGTTTATGTTCTAGGAAAAAAGATGATAGTTTTATTTCTAATAGAAAATCCAGTTTTAAAGTTTAATTATTAAATTAAAATATTTTAAATGGGTTATCCATCAAATATTAAATTAGTGGTTACCTTGAGTGAGATGTCCCTGAGCCCTTTAAGTGAATTTCCTTTATTTGCTTTGCTGCTGAATGTTATAGTATTTTTTGAGTCTTTGTAATTAATTTCTTTTGGATGGGGGTGGTCTCTTAACTGTCATGAGATCCTTCCTTTTTATGCTGCAGATTTGCTTTTGATTACTCAATTCCTGTGAAAGACAATCCTCTTCGATTCTAAGGAAGTTTTTATATCAAATTCCATGTAAATCAGGGGCCCCTCAGATCGCCAGAAGGCGAACCTTGCTGATGATGTCATGGGTGGTCAAAATTTTCCTTCATATTATAAGATTAGAATATGCCTCTGAAATGTAAAATTCAATCTCTGAATGCAGTTCAGTTATCAATCCTTGTGTTATATTACTTTTTTAGACAATGTGAAGCAAAAATGTTAGTTGCAAAGCTTGTATATTTTTTATCAGTGAATCTTTGTTGTTGTAAAAAGAACAAAGTCCTAACTTGTCTAGGATGTGTAGCTGAACCTTTTGTGAACTGCTTTTGACTTCTCAGGCCCTGATATTCCTGGAGTTTTCATAAAAGTTAAAGATTTTTAAAAGTATGCAGAATTCTCCAATTTTTAGACCCAGCTTGACAGAATATGGGATAACAAGGTGTAGAGCTGGATGAACACAGCAGGCCA